CTCTTTGTATGTGTGTGTGTGTGTGTGTGTGTGTGTGTGTGTGTGTGTGTGTGTGTGTGTGTGTGTGTGTGTGTGTTGAGGTGTGTCCTCGGCTGGCATGGGTGCCCTCTCACACCTTAACGTGGTTTCTCTCGCCATGTCGCCATCTTTGCCTATGCGGGTGTGTCATGCAGCACCTTCCAGTAAGACACACCAAATCAAGCAGTCGGCTCTGATCTCTGACACTCAGAGAGCCGCCATGTACCCGAGAGAAGGTGACCTGAATCCCACCACATACTGAATGTACGGTACAACAAAGCACAGATGTCATTCAAGTTGGTAAAAAGAGTCTATACAGACGTTTCTTTAAGCAGGAAAAGCTTGGTAGAAGTGTACAGACTGTGTGGAAAAATGACTGCTCTGTTGACAAAACAATATCAGGTTACACATTTTGTCCTGAAACTTCACACATAGTCACACATTCATCACATACTCTTTATCAGCAAATAAAAAAAGATTTTAAAAATACACAGAACATGAGAAACATAGAAAAGCCTCTATAAACTGTATTCCCAAACTTATTTGACAAAAAGAAAAGACGTAGACTAATCGTAAAACGCTTTTTGGTCAAATAAACCCTTAATTCACTGAGTTAGATATGAACATATTCTCAATTCTCAATGAAATATACAGGATACTGACTGCCAAGTTGTTGATTTATTTCTTTGTTTTGCTCCATCAGTCACTGATGACTGTCACCTGAAGGGCTTTGTGTGTTTTTTTTCCATTGTTTTAATCCTCCTTCCTTTCTGCTTGACGCAGACTGCTGTGTGACGTTCAGCAGCTGTACGTGTGTGTGTGTGTGCGTGTGTGCGGGGCTGTGGTCGGGGGTGTGTGTGTGTGCTGAAGGCTGATAGGATCCTGAAAGCCATATGATCAGAACATCACACCCTGTGCTTAATGGGACACCGAAACCTGTGTTTACTGTAGCAGTGTATGTTTAGGATCTCTGTGTTCACTGACTGTGTGTGTGTGTGTGTGTGTGTGTGTGTGTGTGTGTGTGTGTGTGTATGTGTGTGTGTGTGTGTGTGTGTGTGTGTGTGTGTGTGGGTGGGTGGGTGTGTGTGTGTGTGATGCCACATGTGACTCTTTTTCCGTATTAATGGATGCAGGATGCCGCTCCCAGAGGACCTAATCAGCTCCAACCAGCAGACTGGGCATACGTTATGTTGAACCGGACACATCCTAAAGACACAACATCAGTCACACACACACACACACACACACACACACACACACACACACACACACACACACAAAAGAAAGGAAAAGTCAGTGTGAGAGGGCAGTTATATATATTGACTCCACCCAGCCGTTATGGAAATTGAATCCATGTTACGCAACAGCAACAGCATAGGAGTCCTACACCTTTGGTTATACACAGTGGCATCCACCAAGGACGTCCTTCCATGGGTTTCACAAGGACAATTTCTGCAGAGAATTCACTTTAATGACCTTACAATTGCACATCTGCTTTTATAATATATACAGTAAGTAGAGTACAGCAGTGTTAGTCCATAGTTCCTGTCTGGCTACAAAATATCCCAAAACATCACGATAGAAGGGTCTGTGTGGAGTACAGGGCAGAAGATGCCTCGACCAGCCATTGCCAGATTTGTGTCTTATTTGACGGATGGTAAAGTTCTGAGAGGCAACTTGCAAAAAGATTTAGTCACAGATGCAAGCGGCTGAAATTAGTTTCTGGGTTCACCCTTAGGGACATCCTGAGGGAGGAACACAGATATTTTGGAAGTGACTGAAGTCAGCCGGGCAGCAGATCAGGATGCCTCTGGGTGTTTCATTCTGGAGGTATTCCTGGCAGTTGAAAAATGGCAGGTGAGAGTATAGGGGATATAAAATGTATACCAGCTGGTCTCAGACCCCAGGACTGGGATCCTGTGGGAAAAGCTGGGGGATGCTGGCTGCTGTGGCTTCTCTGCTTAGTCTGCTTCCACATGACCTGGATCTGGGCTACTGGCCGAAAATGAATCAATGGAGGATGGAGCACCCTGTCTAACCATTAGATTGGGGCTTTTTTTAATGCTGCTATAATCAATAGTTTTATATTAAGCATGGTCGTACCCACAACTGAGGTCACAAGGGTCTGGACCGCTGTATTTTGTACGAGGGGTAGATAATAAAAGTTGTGAAATAATTGCCTAAAAATAATTTTTCTTTTATGCTTTGATGCATGCGTCCAGAACCACCCTAGCAAGTTTAGTTTTTGGATCTTTATTCCTAAAACCATGTGTACAGCTATCATAGTGACGTATAAATGGCTAAACATACTAAGTCTCCATGTAAACACATAGCTAGCTTAACACTAAGAAAACAGCACTGAAAATGTTCTTGTTAAAAAGGATAATAAATGCCAAAAGAATTAGGGTTAGGGTTGGACTGAATTCGTTTTTTTTTGTCCAATTCAGTCACTGTTAATGTTTGCCAACATGTTAGCCATATCAGCTTTATAAGTGATAAATGAGTGCTGTTTACAGCTCGTGCTGCTGCCAAGGTGGGGGTTTAAGATTCACAAATAATAAAAATCATTGAGAGATTAAATGAGCATATTTTTTTACCAAAAAAACTTTGTGTCCTTGTGATTCATATATATAAATAATTGTTCAGGACAATTCAAATAAAATTCTGCTTATAATACGATCATAGTGAGAACATTTGATTATAGGCTTTTGTGTTTTTTCCTATAATTGCTGTTTTTTTCTCTGCATTGTTCTCTTGTCATCAACCCCACCCATTTGGTAAAGCAAACCAGGCTAATCCATGCTCCTTTAAAGAGTTTTTCAGTGACCCACGGCTGGCTAGTTTAACTAAAAATCTCTGCAGATTTGTGCTGCTGAGGCTTTTTTCCCACACAGATAGTTATTAAGGGTGACCGTATTCCTGGAATTTAAACCACTGTACAGAACAGTACAGTTAATCCTCATAAAAAGAAGATGGGGGAAAAATGCAGGGAGAGAAGGGGGTTGGGGGGGGCAGTGTTGCACATTTTACAAAGGCAAAGAGGTAAGAGGAGGGAGAAAGAAGAGAGGAGAGCGTCTGGTAGAGAAGAAAATAGCAGAGAAGCGAGGAGTCATGAAAAATTGAAACACAGGAAGCAGAAGAGGAGCAGGAGTAAAGGTGGGTTGTAAACCATGTCTTCATTCAACCAAAATGGTCCAAACCAAGCAAGTTAGTTTGTATCATTTTCATGGGAAGGTGATAAGTCTTGATTCAGTGTCTTGTGGAGTTCTTAAGTGATTCAATTACTGAATAACGTTCTGCATATGCACATTTTCTAGCTTTAGAACTTTATTGTTGACATTCAGAAACAACAAATCAGTACCTGTGATGAATAGATTCAGCCTATTGTTCTTGTGCACTCACTATGAGTCACACATGGGTTGAACGCTTTCTGCATCCTGTGTTATAGTTTGCTCTAGCGTCTCTATGTGGCACATGAATGTAGTTTCCAAATCAATTAATCAATCGTGCGCCAAAACACTGCTACTACAAACATGATCAATCAAATACTAACAACACAGTGGACTCCTGGGAAATGAAAGCATGTAATTACTATAATTTGGATGCACAGTGGTATGAATATGTGAGCATACAATGATGGAGTGACATTAACTTGAATATTCACACATCCATACGGGACAGAGGGAGAGACAGGAGGGGCAGAGGGTTTAATGTAAATGTGCTAAAGGAGTCCTGATTGTGGAGGAGAGTGCTGGCAGCACAGCGAGGTGAAGGGAGGATACAGCAGGTTATCATCCAGAGGTCTAAGCTCACAGCTGTTGTGTAACCAGATTTACAACAAAACCGTGTGGTGGAATGTGACCTGCATCCCGATCTGGTGATGCTGCATACACTATCCGTGTCCTTCTCCCTTGCACACACACATCAATAACTCACTCACACTTGCAGCCTCAGCCATACCAACTTGGCTGTTTAACATCCGTTACACAACATACTTTTAGCATGGAAGGCTTTTTGTATCCGTCTTAATGAAAATGCCAAAACATGGGAGCCGTGAAAACTGTGCCAAAGGAGATTAAACATCATTAAAGTTATGGGGAATGTAAGTTGAAAGTTGTTTTGTACCGTGCAATTTCATTCGATTAAACAAAAGATGGAAAAGTTTAACAGCACAGATTTGACTTTTTTCCAACCGCTGTGATTGTTTTAGTTGGATACAAATCGTACTCAAGTTGCTGGTGTGCGGAACATGAGATGTTGCCAAACCTTTTCTCAGTGGGCAGTACGTCTGCATGTCCTCAAAAAGCCTTTACTTAGGTAAATGACCTCAATGACCATGACCTTAACAGTTTGCACACCATCTGTCTCACGGGTAAGAGATTTTATTTCCCCATTTATAAACAGAAATGTCAGTAAATTCGATGCGCTTAACAGCACACAACATTTTACAATCACGTATAGTAATTTTTACACCAAGTCGAAAACTTGGAAAAATAAAAATTTCTCTGCTAGTCTTTTGGTGTTTAATTCTCCTCCAATTGCTTTATAACCATTTTCATGGCTGCCTAGATCAGCCATGTTTTGTCCGGCTTGATTTGGTAGCCAAGGTAATGTATTTGGAAATAAATGGAAAGGTTACCTAACTCATTTCCCCCACCTCGTTTTGATGGTCTGGGAACATTACAAGCCGGTGTTACATATCAGCAGTAGATGCTAGCTAGACAGGAACAGGAGAATCTATTTTATAGAGGCCTAATATCATCTGATAATTATGCCAGAAATATGGCTTTGGTTGTTACATCCCCAGACGCCAGATTGGACAGAGACATGTTATGTAAGCCTTGGTGTTTGAATATAAACTCACACACACTTTCAAAAAGGGACTTATATAATAGGATGACAATACCATCAGTATTTCTACTATTTGTTAGCTTGCTTGGACTTTAAAATGCAGTTTATACGAGTAATCAATCTAAAAAAAGTTTTCATTTCACATTTTTATTGTTCATCATAATGAAACAGCATCACTGATACAAAAAACATCCCCTTGTCTGGGTAAAATTACAAATCTGAATGTTTAGCCTGATCCACAGGAAGCAGAGACACTGTGAACAGCAGAAACATTGAGCAAGTGCTTCTCCACGGCTGAGGGTCCATACAAAAATAAGGCAGATGGTTCTGCACAATTGCTTTCTAAACACTGTCAAAATTAGCTGGGAACTTGTCTGCTTTTACAAATCCACAAGACGACTCCTCATCTAGGCCAGCACAATATGCAACAGCATTGTACAGTTTGGCTCAATCATGCAAAAGGTGAAGAGAAGTTATCCAAAAGTGAGGAGAAAAATCATCCAGACCATATACCTGAGATACTAAGTGGGGTAAAGGTGTGGTGAAATGAAGAATTTAAAGACGAAACCCAACCTGAGGCAGAGACAAAGCTGTTGCGCTGACTACCGATGAGCAGAATAAGCCACTGACGGCAAACATTCGTAAAGAAATTTAGATTGTGAGCCACATTTTCAAATTGAGAACAATCCAGTATCGAACATTAATAGCGAGTACTGAAGAGACCTTGTGGATTCAGCATCAGGCCGTGGAAAGCTTCAGTTCAAGTATGGTCATGGAAATAAATCCTCACCAGGTTTTGGTGGGTTAGAAAAGGTTTTTTCTATGACAGCAGTGATACATTATAAGCCACAGTAAGATATGAGCTACAACTGTGTACGATTGTCCAGGTAGAGCTTTAGAACTGACAGACACGGAAGGTTCTTGTGCATTTTGTCATCGTGTGGAAGAAGTATACATCTAAACGTTAGCATCGCTGTATGGCTACTCCATTAGCATAAATGATATGACCTATGGATAAATAGCAGAAGAGCCATGAGCTATTTTAACAAACTATAAAGGTGTTCTGTCCTTTAAGAACCTTCCTGTAGTGTGGTAACGAAATACTTTAGAGGATCTCGTCTTGCTTCTGTTAAATGTTACAGCAGTGTTTTTGAGAAACACATTCAAAATCAATACTGCTTACTTGTAGCTTTAAATTTAACCCAGTGTCAGTCAGCAGGTGCCAATAAGCTACAGAAAGGTGTTGTTTCTGAGACTGGGAAAACCGTGTTATGAAGTAGGCCGTTGATTAATTCATCCTGATATGACAAGTTAACATTAAAACATCAAAATGGATATATAGAGAACAACTTTTCTACAAATATACAAGCTTCAAATAAAGGAAAAAAACTACTGTCATACAGCAAGAGAAAAAAAAGATCTAATACACGTTATATATATTTATATATATATATATATATACTAAAACAAACACTGGATTGCAGAAGACTTGTAAGGCAGAATCCCCCAACAACCCAATCACAGACAATGTGTGTCAGTGTACCATAAAATAAAGATTATTTACAAAGCATATACAATTGTCCAAAAAGACCATGTTTGTTATCCAAAAACATGCACATAATACACTATTTCATTTGAAATATCTATTTGTTTCACGTACATAGATCTGCAAAGGATCTATTAATGCTGTCCACTTTGGCTGGATGTGTTCGTGACACGTTAACGGCATAGCAGAAAAGGTGAGATGAGCACCAAAAGAACCGAATACCACCAGTATTACAAGCCAATTGTAATGATTATTATTAATGACCTGATAATAAATTCACAAAAATTAATAATTGAATGTTAATCTTCCTCAGTCAGAAGTGGCCCATGTGTTTAGCTACAAAACACACCTTTTCAATTTAAAGACATGAATAATAGGATTTTTGTGAGAAATAAAAATTTTAAAATGTAACATCCTCTGCTGTTAATGTAGGTATCAAAACTGTAGCTCCTCTGTAACAACAAGTGTCATGATGTGTGTGATATTGTTTAAATATCATTAATCTTTAAAGAAGTACTTTTGGGAATTTTTGGGGGAAAAAACAACAATTTGTTGCAGAGAGATGAAAAGATGAAGCTTGCGCCTGGAGACTGAAAGCGGAGGAGAACAGCTAGCCTGGCTCGGTCCAAAGTTAAAGTCCCTCAACAAGCACCTCTCACACTTAGTTGTTTAAACATTATATATCATTAGCAGCCATTTGTATGAAAATGGAAATTTTAAAAAGTTGTGGTTTTTGAGGAGTAAGCTTGCTTTTTTCCTACGCTTCAGTCTTTATGCCTAGCTGATCATCTGCTGGCTGGAACGTTAGCCTCATACTTGCCGAGAGTTTGAATATTTTCATCTAACTCTCTGCAGGAAAGCAAATAAACATGTTTCCCAAAATTTTTAACAATTATTTTAAGCTGAATAGCACAGTAACACATTCCTACATTTGTTTGAATGACGTTTTGGAGAATGAGGGTTTTATACAGCAGTGATGAGGATTGCATGGCACAAGTTAAAAAATATAAAAATATTTTACAAATTTGGCATCGTGAATTTACATACAGATTTTAAATTCGCTAGTTCACGTTTTGGCTCAATTTGATTAAATGAATTCATTATTGAATTGTCCAATTGTATTTTTGTAAACTGCATATTTAACATTGTTTTTAAAACAACATATGCTTTCATACACTAAGCTGTCCAGCCCTATATCAAGTGTCTTATAAATTATTCCAGCAGGTGTATATACTGTGTGTTCCAACTGATGATTTTAACTTTTACAACTCAAATGAGGCCAAGAAAGATATTATGTTCAACAATCTTTTCTTTTCAGACACAATTATGTACATTGATACCTTGCCTGTTCAGATCCCTCTGTGACAGTAATACTGAAAGCATCTCTTTCCTTCGTGTACACAGCCAGGATGAAAACAGCCGGTGAGGAAGCTCTAGCATGAACCCGATCGACTAAAATTGTATGTGCGTGTAGACTTTGGCAAAGCTTCTGATTGTTAACTTGTAGCAGAGCAGCAAAATACAATTCCTAAACAAAATGTTCTACATGATTGGAGTTTCAAATTAACCGTACTTTTGAGGTGAGCCTACTGCTTGATTCATTTCAGGAATTTTCCCATGGATAGTTGCTTGAAAAAAAAAAGTTATTGATGAGTTTAACTATGTCTGAGAGTGTATGTGTGTGGGTGTGTGTTAGCTCTACACACAAAGTGAAACGTAATGCTAGAAGTGCTCCTTGTTTCATGGAGGAAGACACACTCCACCTCCAAATGTCTCCTTCAAGTGCACAAAGGGTTGAGGGACTCACATTGTCTTTCCAGCCCTGCTAATCGCAGTTCACAGATCTGCTTCAGGTGAGGACTGCATAGCATTTGTTCTGTTCTGTCTCTTCATAGCTGGAAATGATTGGCGGTAAAAAAAATGGCGATTTCAGGCTGTCCTGGTGACACGTTAAACCGGGGGTTTCCCCCTCTTCGGGTTTTGATTCTCTCGTTTGTGTTGTGTCACATTCAGAACTTTACAGCGACAGAACAAAGACAAAAACTGAAACCGAGCAAAAAGTCTCCCTCCAGTGATATTCTCTGGGGGGGGGTCCATAAGTTGAGGTTTTATGAGCAATGTTTGAAATTTGATGAAGGGAAGGGAACCGCTGATGAAACCCTATCCCAGATGTTGGACCAGCTGAGGCAAACCAGAAGAGGCGAGGCGGGATGAAGGGTAGAGAGGGTTTGCTGCATTCTAAAATGCAAATGTGAGGAGGGAAGAAGGGGGCTTAGTGACCGCCACTGGAGCCTGGGGGGTTGTGGACCCAGTCGAGGACGATGAGCGTCAAGCTGCCAATCATGAAGATGACTCCCACTACTAAGAAGATGAACGCCTGAAGAGAGAGACAGAGGAGTAGTTGAATGTGTGATGATGCACAGCGGGTGTCAGATGAAAGTTCTGACGAGTCACATTTTGAAAACGTTATCCACCCCTCGGGGGATGGAGTGAGGAAAATGATACAGTGAGAAAATGTTGATAGAGTGTGTGGGTGTGGGTTTCTGCACACTTACCCCGATCTTCTGCGGGGAGCGGAACGGCACTGATTTTACCAGGCGGAGGTAAAAGGCAGCAGGTAGGATGAAGATGAGCATAGTGGCTGCGGAGGAACCTGCAATAAAAACCAAGAGGAAGGTTAACTCAGCTGATCAGACACCAGCCTTTAAACACTTACTTACCCATTTCCCTTTTTGATTTTCCAAGAGAATTGATCATTTCTAGCTCTGGGGTGTTCTAAATGTTGCTTTTTTTCAGTGTTTGTGTGTGTGTGTGTGTGTGTGTGTGTGTGTGTGTGTTGGCAGCAAGAACATGAGTGTTTAGATCCAGTGGTCACAAACTGCTCACGCGACCGCACAGCTGACTCGACCCGACACTTTAAGCTTCTGTACTTCCAACGTCTTTACTTAATAAAATGACCTCTGAACCGAAGGCGCTAATTAGCCTTCGACTGACGCTCTCCCTGTTTTATTAACTCCTATTCGTCCATGTTCTGAGTTCTTCATTTTAACCATCTGTAAACCAAATCTTCCTCACCACATGGTAACATTTTGAGTTTCATTTGAAAAAATATAAATTTTACACAAATACATTTTCTTTGGGCCAAAGTATTTGGATGCATGGCCTCACCGATGAAGCCGAAGATGTCTCTGATGGTGGGGACGAAGATGACCAGCATGTTGTTGAAGGCCAGGATGGCGGCGGCAATCAGCATGTGGCGAGTCCAGCTGAACTCTCGACCGCTGAACATCAGCGTGGTGATCGAGGAGCGGATCTGAGGGAAAAACACAAAGTATTGACATTTCAGTCTTTGGCTCAGTCGTAGAGACAAATCTTATATTAATAATATTATAAAAAAAGTTGTCAGAATGTATCTCAATTACAGCATTTTTAGTCAACTTGTGACTTCATAGGTATCAGTTTGGTTTGATAAACTGAAATATTCCATTAAAATCAACCCATTTCACACTGTGTGCAATGAAACGTGTCACTCTCATTACTCCTCTGTGTACATTGAGCCCGTCGCCGACAAATACTGTGCCTCAGGCTGATAACCACACTTGGCTGCTAACAATAGATCTGCTTCAGGTGAGGACTGCATAGTCAAGTGCTACGAGGCTACTGTGTGTATTTGTGAGACTGTGTTTGTGTGTGTGAGGGGAAACAGAGAGAACCAGGAGATCACAGCTAAGACGCCTGGAGCTGCTGAGCCACAAGCTGCCTGTTCAAGCCTCCAGTGGGTGAAAGGTCGTGGGTATCAGGTAAAACCTGAGGCGACGTGAGCCTGCAGGCCACACTGGGAAAGGTTACAAGGGGCGGAGCTTACCATTCAAAAAGGAAGCGGATTATCTCCCGCTGTGCAATGGGACTATGGGATTGCATCAGCCTGTAGTGAGAGTAGGGCAGGCTCGCCTGCAGGGGGGGAGGTGTGTCTTTACCAGAAGCTATTGTCACTTGTGTTTGACTTTTTTTCCTTCCTCTGTTACTTACTAGCCACAAGTCGCCAGGACAACAGCTGTGGCAGACACTTCAAACTGATTTGGTGTATGTGGAGAATGAAAAAAGAGGAGATGCAAAAAGAGTTTGAGAGAAAGTTCTTTAGTTAGTTTAACCAAAAAAAAGAACGAGGCATGTGCATCTTTTCCTTTTTTAAGAGCCGCTGCTGGCAGAACACCACAGGCCTTCTTTGTATCCTTTCAAGTCTGACTTAAGAACAAGATTTATATCCAGTTAGCATGGCACAGTTGAAAAAAATCGCATTAACTGGATTTTCTGCACTGTCAGATTGAACCAAGTGACCCCCGTCATGACTGTCAGGAGGCACTGGGAAGACGCCTGCGCTTCCCTGTCCACTGCCAAAAAAGTGTCACCACTGAAGCCAAAACTCATCTCTTGTAGGAGATAATGACAATAATTTAAGTGCATCCCTGCTAAAATTCTACAAGCGTGCCCCCACCCCGACCTCCCCCTCCACCCACCAGCTGTTGCATAATTAGGCCGGCTTGGAAAACTAGAGCCTGGACGCGGCATTTCTCTCCAAGGCTCCAAACTATTCAGCACCCGACTGTTACCTGGCGCAAAGCCTTTGGAGTTCACCGTGTGATATTTGCACACTTTTTTACTCCTTACTCTTTACCTGTCAGAGGCCTACACACACATAAACACACAGAGTATGTGGATGGACAAGTTGTAGATAGCCGGATTGGTCCAGCCACATCTGGGTTCAGCCAGTTAGCCACAAATTCGGGACTTGTCTACGTAAGCAAGTTCTGCCACATCTCTCCAATTTAAAGGTTACAAACTAACCATGTGCACTTTACTGCAAACAAGAGACGTGTTTTCCTCTGCTAAGTTAACATTTGTGCAGATATGAAAGTATATTCACAGCTAGACAGAAAGTAGCAGACACTGTGTGAAAGCTGTGTAGTATGAATGTTATCATCTTGGCCTTGCCATTTGATATTTTTTACTCCAGACATTTGAATGTGCACAGATGCTAAGTGAGAACTGAAACTATACATGCCACGAGGTAAAAGTCCCCTTTCAAGCTAAAATAACTACAGGAAGGCTATTTCACAGTGTTTCTGACAACATAAGCTCTGAAGAAATACTTGAAACGAGACAGCCAAACTAGACGAAAAAAGACAAACTGTACTTTATTGCAACCAGAACAAAGTCAAGAGACCAAAAACATGATGCCATGAATGTAGCTCTCTAGTGGTGATACAGCGCTCTGCAACATTTCAACTCCACTGAGCCAAAAAGCACACAGTGTGACAGTAACAACTACACAGACAGTGCCATTGTTCCAAAGGCTCGCTGATAAAATGTCTCTCCGTACTTTAATAAGACCAACCTTTGCATTGGTAGGATATGAAATTCACCAGGCTGGTGCTGGTGCATGACACTTATTGTTGTTTTAATTTTTGAATTCAATCAGAGTTTGACCTCTGACCTTGTGGAAAAGAGCTGTGGAGCATCTGGACCAAAATGAATTAATAAACAATTTATTAACACTTATGACTGCGGGCTTCACAGATACTAAATGACACACATTTATTCCTGCAGACTTTTGAGAAAGTAATTAACAACACGTTAATGACCCATCAATCTTTATTAATGATAACGAGAACAACCCAAAAACCCTGTGAAACATTAGTAAATGTTACATTAACCAATAATAAAGCTGAATTACATACAAACCTTTTATAAAGGGTGCTTTGTCAGAAAACAAGATAGCAATGTAAAATGGAGTGTTGAGAGTCCTTAGAAAGCAAAGCCAAAGTTACAGCGGTGCAACTTTTCATTGACGGATGTTTAAGCTAATGAATAGATATGAAACACACAGTATACAGTGGGTTGAATATTGCCACTAATAGCACACAAGCCAGCAAAACTGACATCACTGTTTGAAATGGTGACGTAATCACTGTTACTCTGTTGAAGAAAACTAATAGCCCCACTTTTTTTAATTTAGGTAAAATATTTTCATCAAATTAGACAAAAAAATGTCCTTCCAATGACCAGACTGAAAATGTTTAGTAGGATTAGCCAATGAGACTCGCCAACAGTTATTTCTTAACTTGCGAAGCAAAGGCAGGTGATTTTCCTTTGTAATGGATAAAAAAAGGAACTTTTTCAGTAAGTAGAAACCGTAATGTACTGTAATGACGCTTTTAGAGAAGAAGTACTCAAGCTAGTGCTACAAAAATAAAGGTCTGGCTCAAGACAGAAATTTGACTACATTATGGTTAGACATAAAGGTGATGTTGGTGATGTTAATCAGCGCATTTGCAGCCCTCTCCCATGGTTTCAATCTCCAGCTGAAGCCTGAGAACTGGGGCACGTTTGACTGCGCTTAAAGCCCTTTCATTATGTACTGGATCCTGGCAAAGCCCTCTGTGATCTGGCCTCTGTTAGCATCTATCCTTCACGTGACTGCACACACAGACACACACTCTCATGCCTAAACATGTCTCCAAACGTACCCTCCCACACACACATTCTCTCCTCTCTCATATACTGCTTCCCCACTGGAGCCAAGGACAGTCGCAGACAAAGCTAACGTTAATCTCTAGCTGAAGGTCGGTAGCATTTCCCTGCAAAATGAAGGTCAGGAGGATTCAAGGCGAGATTCTCAAATGTCAAATGGAAACTTGGCAGAGCGGTGCGACTAAGTGGTTCTTTTGATCTGATGCCTTGCATGCATCCAAGTTCGTCAATCTTCCGACCACACCGTTGAATTTACTGCAAGAATAGCGATTAGTTAATTAAACATTCCCAACTCAGCGCAAATTTCTCGCAAATTCATGAACAAATCAACTCTTTTCCACTTCACAAATGTCATGAGCCGAGTCAGCCATTTCATCGAACACAACTCTCTCTCAGCGACTAGTGCTTGCCACCCAAACTGACTCACGCAGAGCAGGCCATGACTCACACCTTATCCATTATAGGTATTCATTCAGGTATATACAGGCCAAGACCAGTTTTTAACACAACCTCAAAAGGAATCGATATTTTTAAAAGCGTCATAGCTGATTTAAGGACCATGAGCACGTAGCATGTTTCTATTGCACGAGGCTGCAGTGGAATTTGAACGGCTAACCCTGGCCATGTCACTGCCTTGCTCTTTTTACCACAGCTGCTTTGCTGCATCCTGTTTCAGTCTTGTGTTTCTCTGTCCTTATCAAATTTTTATCACCTCCCTCTTCCCTCGCACTTTCTCAGCACTTGTTATTTTTACAGGCTTACCCTTCTCTGTGTAAAATTCAATTTAAAATGTATTAATTGGGAGCCCAACCAACTAAAGGTGCTGCTTATCACGTGTTCTTGCACCTGAATGACAAGTTTGCAGTTGACTTTGATTTTTCTGAGTAGTATCTTATGAAAGAAAATCCAAATTGCTTTCTTTAGACTTTTTTTTAAAAATTATTTTAGCAAAATAATAAAGTAATACATATTTAAAGCTGCAGTAGGTAACTTTTATAAAAATAACTTTTTGTCAGTATTGCTGAAATGTTCACTGTTTTCTGACAGCAGTACATGAGACAGACAATCAGCTTCCTCTGGCTCCTCCTAGTGTTCCTTATAACATTTGCAACAATCCAACGGGCCTGAACAAAAACCAACCAATCAGAGCCAAGAAAGACATTAAGATGCTTTGGGTTGGAAGGTTGAAGATAATAATTGTTGAGTCTTATTCCCAGTGTTCTAAAGCATCCGTACTTAAAGCCCTGGGAATGAAACTCAGCAATCAACTATCTTTCTCGCCACTATATATATATATATATATATATATATATATATATATATATATATATATATATATATATATTTCATGCCATATTACTATTGTTGGTTGCAAAGTTTCAGGTGACATAAACTGTCATTGCTCTTGAACATATGCACATTTACATACATGTGCACATATGAAAACCTGGCAATCCTGCATTATTTGATCGATTTTCATCTACTGATGGCACTACAGCAACATTAGGTTAACAGGGTTAAAGGGACATAACTCAGTAGACTTCCTCTCACCCTTTTATAAAAATCCTCCTTGTACAAAATCCTAATATTCCCAGATGGGAATCAGGCATTTTCATGAGTGGATCATTAGCTTGTTCCTCACTATCTTCGATGCTGATCCAGATGTAGATTCTAACCATGTTCTATCATTAACCCACCACACTTACAGGATAGTGCAGCCCTGATAAAGGTTTGTGTTTCTGCCTCCCTCCCCTGCCAACCACCCCCCGTCTCCCTGGCTCCGCCTCTTTATCTCCCTGATGGTAGCGGTCAGGGTGAGGGTTTTTCCACTGCCCATTCAGAGGCTGTAAACTTCCACTGCAGTGAGAGGGGGATCCTCTCTCACATTCCCTTCGACAGAAAAAACAGCAGTGTCTGCTGAGTGTGTGTGTGTGTGTGTGTGTGTGTGTGTTAGGGATATGGGGCAGTACATCTATTGTAGGATCGTAAGCATCAGCTAAATTAATAAAATGTACCAAAATGTGATGATGCCTGAATGTGTGTATACGATGGATATATAAGAGTGCAGATAAGTATAAATGTGTGTATCTGTGCTGTGTCAAGCTATGTGTATCCAAGGAATGCAGTCATTGCTGCATCATTCTCTGTCAGCACTTTCCTGTGACTTAATAGCAACACATTTGCTGCCCCCTGGTGGCTGCATGCTGGACCTGCAGCCACTTCAAAAATGATTCACACATTAAAGCTAATACAGGGCACCAAACTTCCTCTGGCCAGCGGCCATTTTTGTTCTCCTCGTGTCAGACAAGGGCCAAACTAAAATTAGCCCGTGAACATATATGGGGTGGGAAGGCAGAGCGCGTATGTGTGAATGAAGGCGACTGACATAATAAGTGTCAGTGACTGGACAACATACACAGGCTAACCTTTGACCCCATCTTGAGAGAAAACGGACGCAGTAAGAGGCATTACTGTTAAGATCTATAAGTGTGCGTAAGCGTGTGTGTCGGTGTAGTTGAGAGGTGCGGCCATTTACGACCTCAGCCTGTGTGCTTTGGGATTTGAGATGACGACACAAACAGAGTGCCGAACTGAACAGTGCGTTCTTTTTTACCAAACTGCCAGGAAAGAAAACAGCTGCATCCAGAAAACGACAAATAAAAAGACTGACTCTGCACCAAACACAAAACACAGTCTGTAAGCAGAATGACACAAAGTGGCAGTAATGCTTTACTGCGTGAATGCTTTTACAAGTAGCTGGCTGGCGCCGGGTGGAAAATAGCGGCCAGATATTCTAAATTACTGGGGTGGTGTATGTTTGTGTGTGTCTGAGGAACATGTTTGTGCACTCTGACGTGAATCAAATTATATCAGGTTCAATTTAATGATGCTGAATGAGATGACAGAGGAGAGCGACGCCAATGCTCAAATTAACACCAGTGTAAAAACCCTAGAAGTCAGCGCTTGCCATGAAGTTTTACAGCAAGGAAACATTTTCTGCTTTCCAAACTTAACTACTGCTATGCCCCCCCCCCCCCATGCTTGTCCTCGGAGAATTAAAAAAACATATTAGGTTTTTTAAGAGAGTGTTTGTACGATGTACTTACAGGGAACAGCACGATGGGGACAGTCAGAGTGACGGCAGTGAGAACAGCCAAACGCACCATCAGCAACATGGTGTCAAACTTATAAACCTTGGTGAAGGTGTGGAGCAGCTCGGCTTCCACATTGCCTGTGTTGGAGGAAAAGCAAACATTGTGAACAATTTTGTGAGATCATTAGTTTTTGATTGCTAGACAATTAAACAGTACTGGTTTTCAAAGCTCTATTTAAAAATAATTCTAGTAGTACTCCCTCACCACAGCAGAATTCTTTTTATTTTGCTCTAGAATAAGGGACTCATATAGCCTGTTTAGGCGATGTTTTGTCTATGATGCCACTCTTACCATAGAAGGTGAGGTATCCAAACAGCGCTGACAGCATGTACATGATGAGCATAGTCAGTATGGACAGGTTGGAGACATTCTGCATCTTTTTCCGGCTGCGACTGCAGAGACAACACACACATTCACTTTTAGAGAGGAAACTATTGAAGGTTTAGGGTTTAGGGCTCAAGACTTAGAATAACTACAGAGTCAGAATATGCTTTTCTCGAGGGGAATGTATTTGAATGCATTTCAATCTTTTCTGTAACTCCTCAATAGGACACTATATTTGCAACACATTTCCTGATTCTTTCTGCCCTTCATCCAATATCTCAAGAGCTACAGGAAACTACATTGTTCTGACCATTCTCATTGAATATTGGAAAACTCCATTTGAACCAGCAGGATTCAGATTTGTTGTTCTATCTGCTTTATATGGAAGGATGCTGCACGTCCCTGAAATGCCATGGTGGGAACAGTCATCATGCAACACCCTACGCGGCCAATACCACAAGAGGCATTTACTATAGTGACATTAATTAATAAGCATGGTTCTGTAATGAGTGAAAATCAATTAATTATCAAATTAGGGGCATTTTTGAGACTGTCTTTGTCGCTGAAAAGATTTTCTGAATGTAATTCTTCAGAGCTTTCAGTCTTAGAAAAAACGTACTGCATTGGGATGGGAGCATAAGCTTTCAAAGACAGATATTTAAAAACCTTGGTACATAAAAGACTCTCTGCACAGCTGGATAGTGAGAAAATGGGTTTCCTTTGGATGAATTGAGCCTTAAAGTTTGATTTAGAAGGTGCTTGGTGTAAATGGGAGAAGTGCACTTACTCTTTCAGCTCGCTGTAGATAGGCAGGACCTCTGGGTGACAGACAAAGGCAAAGGCCAGGATGGGCACGGTGTACGCCGTCTGGGAAAAACAGTGTACAGAAAGATTTAAGACATAAGTCCAGTTTTAGGCAGTACAAGACAACCATGGTGCTAACAATCTATATAAACCTATACCGGGCCTCATATGCGTATGTGGTGTCAGACAAAAATATGACTTAAATATTCTTGCAGCAAGATCTGCTTCCTTTTCACAAGACACCATGCTGTGTGTAAGTGAAGGAAAGCCCAGAGGATATCTTCCATGGCATTAAAAGCTAGGGTATGTAATGAATTTCAGAAGCATTTTTTTTTTGTTATATTTGTTGAAATTCTCTTTACATTCCAATGGCAATCAATAAATCAAATACTATGAAAAAGGAAGAAGAAAAAAATCTGGTAGTAAACCCAGCCAATAAAATGAATGGTGGAGCGGCTTTGGAGGGAGGCCTGAAGGGAGGGCGTGGGGATTTTACTGTTGGATTCTTTCAAAATCTAGCTGTCTCTTACTAGTTTCTCCAATGTTACCTACCCTAGCTTGATACAACAAATTGACAGCTGGTGATTAAACATGTTAGGACATTGGGGTTGACATTCGCCTGTAGCTTTTGGTCTGAGTCCAGCACTCTTGTCCTCAGTTGGAACTGTGCATGCTTTATCAGACAGTATTACAGACTGACGCTATTGCTAATTATTAGTCAACACTCACTATTCTTCAAAGTTGGCTTGGTGTGTCATTGCCTTAAGGGATTCAACAAGCTTTGATTGGAAATGCCACTTATTACTCCATTACTTCGAGACAAGCTTAAATCAAAGCAACCTTTCCGTTGTGCCTTAATTCCTCAAATTGCAACTGGCAAATGGTTAAAAGTAAAATAACGGCTTCCTCTTATTGTGAAAATCACTACCTTGGTGAATCAAGTTAGCACTAACTAACCCTGTGTCACTGTGAATATGCAGTAATGCTACGTGTTATGTTCTTCGTGTTGATTTATGATCATATAGGCTTAGACACAAATCCCTAAGCACACATACAGAAATACCAAAACACACCCTAAAAACCCCACCTTTACCAAACATGTCTTGGCCAATACTTTTCAAATTTGTTTCTGTTGGACTGATTCAAATGGTAGACAATCGTAGACTGTCGTACCTGAGAGTTGAAGACAAAATACTTGGGCGTGCACATCTCCTCATCGTCAGGATGGGGCTCGACATGGATGCCGGTGGAGTGATGAGCGTCGTGGCTGCCGGGGACCGCCGGGGAAATGTCGGCGCGGGAGAAATCCATTTGCAACGTGCTGTTCACTGGCGGGTACAACCCCGACATGGCTGAGGCGTTCATGCTGAGGTTGGAAGAGTGGTGGTAAAAGAAAGGAAGAGGGCACGGCAACAGGGTCTTCTTGTAGATCACCTGGGAAAAAAAACAACATGAAGACACGTTACAGTAAGTGCTTCCAAGTGGGGTACATAAAATAAATGAAACAAGAGAAGAATTAATGAAGAAAAATCCACTACCAAACTCTCTGCTTGCTACAGGAGTTAGCACTGTGGCAGTTCTCCAATTCCTTCTTTTTGGGATTTATTTTCCAATTCCAGTTCTACATTATCTACTGTACAAGTGAACTGCAGTTAATGGTTTCTAAACAGGGCCCTCAGACAGTGTAATACACCCTGTGGCGGCCATCTTGGAGGTCATAAACTGAGGCGACGGGAGGACGGGGTTAAGTGTCATGCTCATTAGTCAGCTAATTAGCAAGTTAACAGTTTGGTTAGCTAAGCATTACTGCTATGTTGTTTAAACTGCATTAACTAATATTTGTGGTAAATTAGGGGCAGCAGAAACAAGCTGTAAACACAACATGACATATTATCAACTTTATACGTTGATATGATGAACGCGTTAGCTAAAAGTTGGTCATGAATATCAAGAAGACGTGGAACCACATTATTCATTTGGAATCTTGTTTCTGGCCAAAGTGAGTCCAAAATTCACTTTCCATTGAGCTCTGTTTTGGTGTGCACCAACTCCTGAGGGAAATATTTGGCTCTTTAGCTGCCGAATCTCCATAATTCACTAGCTAGCCGCTAACTTTGTCTGCCTACTACTTGATGGTCGGTAGGTAGCATGAGTTTTTTGTCGCATACAGTCACTTTTTACTAAATAAACCATTTAAAAAAGCTGCCTGCTATTCCTCGATAGTGGTGACGGTAAAGATGCAGACTGTAAAACCAAAACGTGACGTAAAGAAACTAAAAGCCTTTGTAGCGTTGGGGGGAAATTGCAGAGTTAACCAATAATTCTGGTTTCGTCGCCATGAGCTACCCCATTAACTCACACGTAGTCATTGATCCTTTCTTAAAATAAAAATATTGATTGTAACAGCATCTATCTCAGACAGCGGCTGATGTGCCTTTAGAGATATTAAGATGGCCCTCTGTATGCCTGAATACCACATTTTTATCTGTTTTTAGAAGGCTGTACTTACCACCCCCAGGAAGAAAACCATGCAGGAGAGGGAAAACCCGCTGGTGTAGCCCAGGTAGCCTGAAGAGGAGACATTTTTAGAAATTGGAAAAACTAACAAAAAAACACAGATGATGAGATACCACATACTGATGTGATGCTATGCTTTGGATGCCATGCTATGCTATGCTATGCTATTCTTACTCTGCACTCCGCTACTCTGTCTTTTTTAACACTGCTGTCAATCCATTCTGGTGTCTATTCTCAGATGTGGGTCACATCCCTGTTTTTAGGTTGTGAACCATGTGCTAACATAGACAAAAATCTGATATGAGCAGCAGTTCTGACTGGAGCTGCAATGTGAATGAAGCCTTTAAGGCTTGGATGGAGCAGTCACCAAATATAATATCCATGAATGCAAATCTAAAGCCTGTGAACACCAAAGTCCTAATTGCTGTTGTCACTTATTAAATCAAACCCCAACGTATAGCTTTCATCCTGATCCCATTTGCTGCTTCATGCCTAATTGTCTTAATTACAAAATCTGGGCTGTGGGCTCTGTGTGCAGCCTTTTTGGAGCTCCGCCAGTTGAGGCGAGTCATAAATTATATCTGAGTGTTACTTTACAGTATCTCTTAATTGCCTGCGCTGAGTAAGGGCTCGACTAGTGTTACTTCTGGTTTGGTGGAGGTGACTGCAGACAGCTGCAAGAACATAGAAGTCAAACACTGAAACAAAATTGGCTTCAGACTGCAGGAAGGGACATAGATTGTACCTCTTAGAAATTAGTAGCGGTATTAGATGTGGTCCTTACCCAGGTTTTTAAGGAGAGACAAAGGCAGAATGATTCCGACTGACACAAACACCACCAGGTAGTTCCCGTTCAGGTACCATTCACTGCAGAGAGGTTAAAATCAGGTCAGAGCCTTCACCGTATAAGTTGTACACACACACACACACGTTTAAACACACAAACACGTTTATTGTCAAAAGGACACACACTCACCCAGAGTTTTCTTCTAAAGCCAAGAAGGATCGGATCACTTCAGGCAGCTCATACTTCACGATAAAGAGGTAGCTGGACATGGCTGCAGGACAGAGAGGACATTACTGATTTAGCTACATTTTGTATGAGTACAATTTTAGCAATTGTATTAAATTGCACTAAACCACTGTCAAATCAACACATGAAATCACAGCATACCTCCAATATTCTGCATTATTATCGATACAAATGCAGCTACTTTCCCCGGCCAACCGAATGCTCTCTCTCCCAGCTTTTCATAGATGAGGGATCCTGTCAGAACAGACAAGTTGATGGAGAATAAGCCGTGGAAAACAATCCAGGTATCAGACAGAAACAGGGACAATGGGACCAACTGGATTAAAGCCCCAGGTGTATTTTATACCCTCGACTGGGATTTACTTTGGTCGATGTGGATGAGCCATCAACTCTTTTTTTTTTTAAATATATGTTTTTTGGGCTTTTATTGCCTTTATTATAGTTGACAGCTGAAGACAGACAGGAAAGGGGATGACACTCAGCAAAGGGCTGGAGGTCAGATTCGAACGCTGCAGCAAGGACTCAGTACGTGGGACACCAGCTCTACCCACTGAGCTATCCGGGCGCCTGAGAGCCATCAACTCTTTGAAGACTTTAGAGCTTATGACTATGAATAACATTTGTAAAATACATGTATCCATTCAGCTACTTCTGCTGATCTTTTCCTGCCTTTCAAATAATAAAACTGTTGCATGAGTCAGTGCATGAAATTAAAAACAAACTACACTATTTCACAAGAAAAGGTTGGAGAAAAGTAAACGTGGTTTGGTGCAGCCGTATTTTTCTGTATTTCCAGGTGATTAGCTCACGGCCCTTTATTTTCACCTTGCGACCCTTTCAGGGGCCCCAACCCCAGGGTCCATAATTAACTTTTTTCCTCTGTGCAGTTTGGTATTAAAACATATATACAGTCTACTTGAAACAATAACGTGTGTTTGATATATTCTTTTTTTCTCTGCAAAAAAAGTATAATTTCCACTTTAAAATCCCAAAAAAGGAGGCTAAGCCTGAAATTAACTGAATACCAACCTCCTTCTTTAGCTGTCATGAGGAGCAGATGTACAGAATATAGGGAGAGGATGGCCACAGCAATGAGGAGGATTCTGCATGAAGAAGGAAAGCAGAAGGTCAGTGATCAGTGCAAAACTGAGACAAAAACTGAGAAAAGAAAGGAGAGAGGGGTCTGGACAGGTGTAATATGAGGGAGAGTATATGCAGTTAGACACAGGAAGTCTCTGTGGACATTCACACTTCTGAAACACATAACTTCGATGTAGCTGCTTTGGATTTTTTCTTTGGAAAAAGAACATCAAAGTAGCTGTGACATACTGCAGCTGTGTGTTTGGGAGGGCTTGTCTCAGGAGACAAGGTGTGATTTCAACATGACTTCTACATAGCATGACCAGTGCAGTGTCAGGTCAATGCTACGTCAATGCATCAATCAGTTGCATTCTTCAGATAGCAAACAGTGTGGAACAATGGAAGGACTGGGACGGGGCTTTACTTTTACGGCTTCCTGCAATCATCAAACAGGACGAAGGTATTTGTGCTGGAAGAAGGAATGTGTGTGTGTTACCTCTGCTGTCAGGAGATGGCAGGAGCTCATTATTATTATTATTCCTTTTCTGCTATCATTTTTCAGCTGCAATATTCCTCTACTCCACTGACACTCAGCTTTGGAGGAGTGACACCATCTACGTTTTAGCTCTCTTGTTCCCCTGTATCATCGCCAGCTCATGAGGCGGCCACGCAGCAGGAGGGTGGATAGCAGACAGAGGTGGGGGCTGCATGGATGGGATTGAGGAGTGTAGGGTGACAGAGGGGTGTCAAATATTGTATGTCACCCATGAATGCTGATAATATATATGCACGGGACAGACAGCGCTGGATGAAAGGAACTGAGGGCACATGGTGTACAGGGAGTTCAAACATCTCCATGTGTTTGAGCTGCTCTTTAAACCAGGTGGTAATGTGATGATCATTTATATTTATACAGTTTATACTGAAATGTCTCAACAACTATTATAATTAGGTACGCACATCCCTGTCCCACTCAGCGAAAAGGTCTTCACTCATTTACTGTACAAGTGGCCTTTATTTACACATTTACATGACATTCTTCCCTCCATGTTCCACCCAGTAAGGTTAACCAACCTCATTATCTGTGTGCAGGAAATGTTCATAGAGTGTCTTTCTTGTAAACCCCATCATGACATTCCTGTCAGTACTCTATAATTAAACTTGAAAAGTTGACAGTGGAACCGAAACCAGTGTCAGGTAAGTACAACTGGAGATCATTGAAGGATAAAGGTGCCAATAATTCTGACAAAAACCTTGAGGATAAATACAACCTAGCTATTATTTTTTTGAATGCACAGAAAAAGAAAGAGCATAGTTTTAAAGAAATATTAAATTATATCAACATCTACTCTGTGTTTAAATATGTGTCTGTAATTGTAGAATGTAGTAGTAACTACCTGCCTGACCTGTCATGCCATTTCTTCGTACACACCCGGACATGCATGCTGTCGGGTTTCCTCGTTCTGCCCGCTGCAGTACTTACGTAAAGAGCACAATGCCAGTGTTCGCCATGGCGAAGGACAGGCCCAGGATGCCGCTGCCCATGATGGCGTTGCTCAAGTTGAAGACAGACATCCCGAAGGAGGTGTGGCCGGGATGCTGCTCAGAGAGAAAAAGACAGAAGAGAGATCTGTATGAGGAAAACAGACAACTGATGACAAATGATAATCTAGTATTTACTTCAACATTTGGCAATACTGAAGTGAAGCCAACAAGCCTTTAATGCCATTGGTAAATCCCCCACACGCTGTAATTCAAGGAAAACACACCCTCACCTTCTCCTGCACTGTTAGACACCAATTGTTTCGTGCGTTTCCAGTAGTTATTAAGTTTTATTGATTGGACCCATTCTCGCTCCCTCCTTCTACTTCAACTCCTACCTGCCAACATTTCCCAGAATATGAGTGGTGGTACTGGAAAAGTTCATGTGAACAATAAGCAGTGCCATTTGCTACAGCGTGTGATTGGTTGCAGAGCACATATTTTTTGATTTACTAATATACTGCTACCCTCAGCCTCAGGCACTCACAAGCCCCATCATGTGGTAGGCCCACACAGTTGTAATTGCAAGTAATAAGTACTGACGGTAGTTTACTACCTGTCAGAGGATATCGAATTCATTTGGAGTATACTGTCGACCATGAGAGCTTCCAGTTGACACAGAGAAAGTGTCCTTTAGTCAAAACTCAACATGTCTTCCAGTTGTGTTGCATTCTGGCCCATTTCCATGTAGGATTATTGGACCTTGGCACAAAATGGCAATTCTAGGAAGAATTTTGCTCTGAGATCCTGAGGAACTGACAATGATCAATATGACACATTTTTCTTGCAAAGTTTGAATACCAAGAGTGTGTGCGTGTCATAAATATTAACAAATAAGCTTGGGTAACTTGCATCGTGCTCAGCAAATGTTATGACATATTCATACATCTTTTTCTGATATTAACTGCCTGCTTCAGTTGTTCTTGGTATTAATGTGCCGTTCAAACCTGCAGAACAGTGCATTAAATCAAACCATTTACTCTGACTGACAGACGCTGACTACATTAGCGCTGTGACTTGTGAATCCTCTTACATATTCTTCATGGTATTCCTCATATTTCTTCTTCTTCATCATCCCATTTGACAGGAACTTCTGGCTTTCTGCGTCATCGTTGTCATCCAGAAACTGACTGCAAGGACAAAAAAAAAACTAAGATTAACATAAAAAAAGTATTAAAGCTTTATATTATACTGACTTTCTATGCAAACATTGTGGCAGTAACAGAAAATGCCAGCTGGTGACGGTTTTGATCAGCTGACCTGTCAGCGCTGGTTATTTAAGTCGGGTGGATGTGTTGGGTGCTTCATTTACTTAAAGATGTGTGTGAAAATAGCGGTCAGCACATCCTTATCAATCAACTAGCCTAATAACTTAATTAATTAGAGTTAATGCCCAAAGTCTCCAACTGGATAAGTAACCTAATTAATTAATACTTGTTAGCCCAAAATACCTATCACTGACAAATTAAACATGTTAATGCCAACAACCGTCTGCGCTTTGGTCTGGCCAAATGACCGTTCATACATGTTTACATGCACATAATTAACCAGGTTATTGGGAGAAGTCTGTAATAAGATCTGTCCCCTAGACCTGCTGAGAAATTAGGGTTTTACTGTTGAACCCTTGCTGCATTAACTAGGTTTCTCTTTACATAAAGTGAAGCACACCTCAAGTCACTAACAAAGCTGCAATGTCAAATGATTGCTGGTGTCTGCAAATTTGGGGAAGGAAATACATGACATTGTGGTGGCCGACCTGTCGATAGTGGCCTTCTCAGAGTCTATAGGCTCTGGGAAGTGGCCGTCCAGGCTCTCTGTGCTGTCATCATCAGCATCTGTGGACACTTTCCTCAGCTCCATACGTTCCACGATTCCCGGCATAGTGGCAACGAGAGGCGAAGAAGTTTGGATTTCAGGGTTTATAGTTCACAAGGCAGAGATGTGCTTCTTCAACCTCGGCTGGACCTTGTTACCTTGAAGAAAAGACCTAGAATAAAACAGAGGACACGTTAGAGGAAAGTTTCGAAGATGTCTGTTCAGACGTTCAACAACAGTGGCTGCTTGCATAAGTCTTAAAAATTCACCAACACTCGAGTTCACCACAGGAATGCCAATTTTCAGCTGACTACAGGCCTGCAGACGCATGCATTATCTAGCCGTATCGGCCTCTACGGAGCTCCTTGGCCTTGATGAAGAATACTTTAGAGTAAAATGGGGCTCTCTACCCTGCCAACGAGTCCATCCCACTTCCAGGAACTGAAGGACTGTTTGTTATGTTACCTTGAAGAGAAAAGTTAGGAGATGATGCAACCCTGAAGCCTAATACAGCTTCACCAACACCAGCAGGGCTGAAGTCCTGTTTGCTTTCATGCTATTTCCATCTCACACCAGCTGGATTTGTGGTATTAACAACTATATTTTGTCTATATTGGCTGTAAAATGTGGTATCTTAAAATACAAAATTATGTCACACTTCAGTCTTCTATCTTTAGGAAGATATTACAGTCCAGTGTTGACGTTCATACAGATTGCTGCTTGGTGTTAAGTCAACAAACCCTGAAACCAGGTCATGGATGCAACGAGTTCATGAGGCCGCCTGACCGCCACCATCAACAGACCGCCTTGTTCATGCGCGAGCTGGTTTACTCAGCCTCACCCACTACCATTTGAAGAAAATAAGCCAACAGCGCCGCCCCAGGGGGACACGCTTAAATTTTCCATCTGTAGCATTTACCATTAGGTTATGTAAGGAGGAGATTAAACAGGACAGTGAACAAAGCCGGTGATTATAAATTATAAGTGCTACTAACAGCCAAATTATTAACAGCACTGTTTGTCGCTTACACAAAGAGCTCTTTGATTGGTTGGAAGGACGGATCCCAAGTGCTACTCGCAGACAAACAACGCAGGGAAAACACAAACCATGGCAACAATTACCACAACAACAGAGGCCCTCACACATGATGAGGGACATACAAGCACAATTTAATGTTGTACTCCAGAGTAAAATTTTCCACATTTTGGGATATACGTTTATTCGCCCTCTTGCCAACACTTGTACGAGAAGATTAATACCGATCGCATATTTGTCCATTTAATATGAAGTCGGAGCCTGCAACAATAAGTTTAGCTTGGCATACGCATACAGGTGGATAAAGCTAGTCAGGCTTAGTCCAAAGATTAGAGATGCTGTTTCCCCCGGTATCCAGTCTTTATGCTAAACTATGCTAAGCTAGCTTCACATTTAGGGAAAGGGGGAATGAAATGCAGAAAAAAAAGGGAAAAAAAACATTTTAACATGGGCTGGTAGGGCCTTAGCCTTGGTACATGGGGTGCAAACTTGCCCAAGCAGCCCAATGTTTAATATGTTAACACAATATGTTAATTGAGTGAGCTGAGGCATAATGGGATGGGTCTTTAAACCTAAAATAATTTTAACGTTTTTAAGCTATTTGGGGGAACAGATAGAGGTTGTAAAGTAGGGGTGGGAATCTCACAACTCGATTCTGCATCCTGGTTTCCCGATTCAGTTCAGAACTGATCTTGATTCAATAAAAAACAAAAAGGGGGCACCATACTTTGGCTCTTCCTCCAGTGCTCCGTGTGGTAAACCACTGACTGTCAAACCAGCCCTTTGCCCACCGAACTGCTAATAAAACAAAACTGACAGAAAAAAGCAGACTATTCATGTTATCTTTTAAAGTTATTTATTTAAGCTAAATGCATTAACTTGGAAGTATCTAACACTCTTCTTCCTGTTTGAAAATAATGAAAAGATAACCAGCTGGCATAACCCACCAATGGATGGCTTGTTACACAACAGTTTCTACTGACGGAAGTGGTTTAGCAACAAGATCTTTGCATCACAATGTGTAAAGGCTGTTTATAGTCAACATGCCACTATGGAGCCACAGAAAGCTTTCTGTATTGTAACAAGGTTATCAGCTGCACACCATGGCAGACATGTTTAACCTCTCCACCATGACCCTACCTGGCTTGTGCAGTTTGATCCAGAAGACCAGACTTTCTTCAAAATAGTGTTTTAGTCATTGATATGCTGTTGTTTTCCCTGTGATCTTGCTCTTCGGAAGTAGGCTGCTTTAAAACGTGATATCTTTGAGCCAACGGAGATTAAGCGGCTACATTACTGTTAACAACCACATCACACACACCAGTACATCTAATCTCTCAGTGTCGCTCTCTGCTGTGTGGCGAGAGAGAAACGGAGAGCGGTTTTACTTTTCATTGCCAAGAGGATTAACCTGTCTGACTTAGTTAACTTCACACGTTGCCGAGTTTAATGCTGCCGTTGTTACAACCATAACACTGCAGAAGCACACGTTTGGCAGTGTGCCATGTAGGAAGCTCAGACGGGGTATCAGACTCCCACAGCTGAAACTGACTGCAGTTCACACCTACAATTAACATAATGTGTGTAAAACGCATCTTGAGTGACCACTAGTTGCTGAAACTTGTTTTCCTGCTTACATTTCATTGAATTCTCCCAAACAGAAGAAACCAGTTTGCACATGGTCGTTCAGTTGTACGAGAAGACAGCTGAAACCATTTGCATGCTGGATTAAACCACATACAGACACACAACATGCTAATGAAGCAGCTAGAGACAAACCAGAGACAAAAGATAAAGTGTTAATGCTGTAAATGCATCCCTGAGCACTACTGAGATTGACCTGGGAGTTTAGGTCCCATTGTCCTCAGGGTGTCCTGGGATGTCTTGACACTTGTGTTTACAGCTGTTCATTTTACTGCAGACCACACACCGGCCAACACTCACCCTTACACTTCTGAAGCTTGGTCATGATTAAACAAATTCATTCAACTTCTCACAGCAATACTGAAAAAAAAAAAAAAAATCCTAGTCTGTTGCTGATTTTAAAGCAGAAGCAAGCACGAATGGTGACTTGTGAAATGTGAAAACAGGAAAACACAAGCAAATCAAGCTTATCAGTAATGACACTTCCTGCTGTTTGGAGCTTCACTGAGTAATCATTTAAGATTGGCAAGCACAAGCTACTGAATTATGTTCTGAGTCAAGTTTAATGCCAAAAGATCACACAACTCCAGCTTGAATTGGAGCTCAAGGACCTCGTCTGCAGCTCTTCCTATAGCCTATAGTTTCTGTGTGGTAAGATCAAACTAAGATCAAATGCACTGAAACAGAAAGGCTGAAAATGCCAGAAAAAAAGACACTGATTTGCTCTCAACTCCTAAGCGTTGGCGAAAGAAGAAATATCAGATCCTTTCGTCCAACAGATCTGTTTCAAACCTCATGTCTCCACTCTTAAAACACTCCAACTACCTCATACATCCTCCACCCAAACAAACTCTTGCATCAGCCACCACCTTCAAGCAAAATTCCTTCCACGCTGTGGAAACCCTGCTCTGCTGTATGTGTGACAGTAAAAGCAACAGTGCGTTCCTTGAACATAGGTTAAAGGGCTTTTACCGCAGAAAAATTAAATTTTTCATAAGAATGTCCTTTTTTCAACTCCATTAAACTTACTGCAACTTTTGTATATCAATAGACGTATTTTCATGCAACCTATGAACCAAAATGTTCAAGCACAGCAGGCATACTCACTCAATCAAAAGTTCCTTAAAGCGGGTCCCAAGATTCCTTTTAATTTATTTTGCAATCAATGTATTAGCAAGACAGATAATAGACAAGTGAGTGGGTGAGGAGCTTCAGCTATTTTGTAACTCAGGTGAGAATGCAAGCTTTTAAAAGGGAGGAGGGAGGACCTCTGTCGGCCAATGAGGACAGACAAGGTTTGCGTTCAGACCCCTCCTTCTTTGAGCACGGTCTAAGCACCAGCGCAACTCCCCCGATACACACACACACACACACACACACACACACACACACACACACACACATTTGCCTTAAAATAAATGAAAGAAAAGAAAGAAAACTAAAGCATGGACAGAAGGAGAATTTGGAAGAACACAAAAAAAGCAGATAAAAAAGACACTTTTAATAGAAAGTCTAAAACCTGATAGCTAGATAGACATACAGACAGATAGTGAAGTTGTCGGAACGTTTGTCAAACACACACACACACACACACTTTTGTTTGCACATGCAGCAGCACACATGTAGATGCCCAGAAGCGTCATGGGCAACTGTCAGTGGTTTCGAAGTAGGCTGTGCCACAGGGCGACCAATCAGAGGATGGTGTTGGTGATGTCGCTGTGCCCAAGGTCGTGTTCGTGTTGGGGATGAAGTTTTATCTCTGTCCACTTTATTATGCGATCCAAAATCAGGGACACATGCGCGGCATGTGTGAACCATACTGCAACAGTCTTTTTCCACAAATCAGCTGTTGAAAAGTTTTGGACAGTGAGCAGCATAGAAACTTTGAAATCTACTGAGTGAAAACTTTCTATGTGTAAAAACCCTACTTGTTCATGAATAAATACTGATTTTATCTACTTGCTTTTGAAGAGGTTTCAATGTGGGTTGAATACTTCTCCCAACATACAGAGGAATGTGTCTGTAACTGAAAATGATAGTTCCTGTTACCCCAGAACACAAAACACAACAGTCTGCAGCACACTCACTTTCAGTCACAAGTATGGGTATATCGAGGGCAATTATTTACATGAAAGCCTTTTTACGGATCAGTAATGTGGAAATGATGGGCATTAAACTTCTTTAGATTTCTTTAGCTCAATTATTCAAATGTGTTCAGAATATTATTTTAGTTCACTGTAATGGAGTAAAGCTTTCCCGCTACCAGCGCTCCCTCTCCTCATTCACTCTCTAGCTTGTTTGACCAACGCTGCTTTCTCTCTCAAACAGATGTACACAGACCAAGCTTCTTGGTATTTTTACCAGACATCAAAGCTGGGTAGCAGAAATTAACCAAGTGAGGACACAATATCGTTTGGTCCATGAACAGTGCCTGGATAGCGCCCAGTTTTAGCAATATTTCAGGCTGACTGTGGAGCAATTTACAGGTCTGA